GTGTGTGTGTGAGTGTGGGTGTGTGTGTGTGTGTGTGTGTGTGTGTGTGTGTGTGTGTGAGAGCTGTAGCTGTCTGGGAAGGTGTGACACCTGTCACTCAGGATCAAGGCCTGACAGGAAGTGCAGGTGTTTATGTTGTTATTAGAAGCAGACCGTTACTTTGATCCTGATGTTGTTCTGACAGCTTCTTTCAGCGCAAGAGGATGCTTGATTCTTTAACGCAACCTTAAACTGCTTTTAAAATGCTGTGCTTATTGCGACAGTGCATCTGTATTTTCATTGGGATTACAAATAATCTACCAAGATTATACTCTACTTTTGTTTGTAAAAATATGGGATTTTCATATATGAATAAAAATAGAAAATAATGTCAAAAATCATGTATACAGGTCAAATAAATACTTTAAAAATCATAAAAATTGAAATATATATATATATATGTATTTCAACATAATTGACAAAAACTGCATTAAAAAAACACAAATTGTGCATAAATTTATTAGCACATTTTAATTTCCAAACATTATTCTCTCAAACAAACCGTGTCGCGTCTGCTTCGTTCACTTTGCAAACCTCAGCCAGAGCTCGAGGACTGTCCAGCGAAAATAAAATATTACATATATAATAAAATCCAACTCAGAAAAACTACTTTGTGTATACATAACTCTATAAAAGATTCTTTACTTGTGATAAAATCTTACAAAAGTCCTTCAAAGTCTGTCCTAATAAAAATGTTCGTCTCATGACATGATAGATAAGTTAGAGCTGCAATACTGACATTTTTGTGCTTCTTCACCGTTCAATAAAATCATAGGAAAAAGTCAAATCAACATGAAATCAAAGCTGACAATATTTATAATATTTGAAAGGAATATTGCAGTGTTGATTATAAAAGATTTATCGGTGCACATCTGGTCCCTCATCAAACTTCTCATCGTCTACTTTCTACAATCCAATAAATACTTGATGGACTAAATCAAGTAGCATCTAACGATTTATTCCTGTTTGATCATTTGTTTCATTTTGACAGAAAACGTGGTTGCAGTTTCTTCAAACACAAGTTCTCTTCTTTAACATCAATGTATTTACAATAAATATATTACTTCAGTAATAAAAATAATTTCAACTGAGTTTTAAATGTTTACTTGCATTGTAAGTGCATTACAATAATCACATTTGTGCCACAATTGTCAACTAGTGTTATATTAGTATCATTAATATACTATTATAGTTTTTAATATTTTGAATTACTTGTATTTGTTTACATTTGAAATTTAGTTAAACTTGTTTTTTATGTCTATTTAATTTTTTCTAGTCTTTTCTTATTTAGTCAGTTCTTCTATTTAGTATTAATTTCAGAAAAGACAATTAGAAATGCTGACAATAACTAAAATACAATAAATGTTTTTTTTGTTATTTAAAACTATTTTATACTAAATAAATATATATTATAATTGATATATATGATTTATTAATATTAATATAATATATTTAGATTTTATTTAATGTGTATTTTATTTCAATATAAGATCGACAGTACATGTACATTAATATAATATATATTTGTATTTACTTCATAATATTGTTTTATCGGTGTGTGTTTATATATATATATATCTGTATATAGCTGCTTATTACTGGATGAAGATCAGTTCATACTTCATAGCACTAAAAGAGCATTTTCTTGACAATGAAATATTTTAAAGCAGAGGATTCTTAATTCAATTAATCAGTTATTTAAAAATAAATCCACTTTTTCTTGACCAATCAACAGCTCTTTCACTCTTAATTTTGCAGTAAAACATTTAAAAAATTGTGTTTTTTTTTGTCTTTTTTTTTTCTTTTAAAATATATCTATTATTATTATAATTATTTCAATTTAAAATAAAGGTTTTCTTTTTTAATAAAACGTTCAATTAGAAATATTTTCTAACAATATAAGTCTTTATTATTACTTTTTTATAAATTTAACACATCCTTGCTGAATAAAAGTATTAGTTTCTTTCAAAAAAAGAACGCCAAACTTTTGAGCTGTAGTGAATATTGCTACAAAAGTGTTCTATTTTGAATAAATGCTCTTCTTTGTAACTTTTTATTCATCAAAGAATCCTGAAAAAAGTATCACAGCTTCCAAAGAAAAACAATGTAGCAGTAAAACTAATAAATCAGCATATTATACTGATTTCTGAAGATCATGTGACACTGAAGACAGTAATGATGCTGAAAATACAGCTGCGCATCACAGAAATACATTATATTTTAACAGAGATTCACATAGAAAACAGCTGTTATAGATTAGAATAATATTTCACAATTTTACATTTTTTTTCTGTATTTCTGATCAAATAAATGCAGGCTTGATGAGCAGAAGAGACTCCTGTAAAACACATTAGAAACCTCACTGACCCCAGACTTCTGAACAGCAGTGAATATAACATCTGTCTGCTGCTGGTTACTCTCTCTCTGTGTGTATGACACATATACACTAACTTGCTGGCTATTATATTGTTTAGTATTCTTTATTATATCACGCTGAACACGCTAAAGTAACACAGACACACAAAATAACGTCAACTCTTGACGTCACAGCGCTACAGAGCACGAGCAGGAAAGGTTACTTGCAGGTGTTATGCGTGTCTTGATGGATAAAAGGGTGGCGTTTATATATTTAATCTGCTTTTTGCGAATGTTTTTGTTGCGTGAAGCCTCGGTTTGAATGTTTGAACTCGCGCCTGTAGAAGCACATCAGGAGGACAAACGCCTTCCGCTCAAAACCCTTTTGAAATCTTAAATTCGAATATATATATATGCAGGTGTATATTGCTTTTTTAAATGCACAGGGTTCAGAGAGAAGTCACAATCCTGTTCAAAGTGAACTCTCCCACAGCAGCTTTAAACTGCAAAAGAAACTCCAGCCACACGTTTAAAAGGGTTTCTTTAAAAGCACAATGCTCATGTGTGGAGGTGCTGTGAGTATGATGGGTCGAATAACCCGTTCTGCTCATGTTGTGTCTGTAGGCATTAAACTCTTGTGCTTGTGGACGACGAAACCAGCCACATTTCACTCCGAGAGACCAGTTCAGCCGAACATGAAGATCTGCTCACCCTCAGGATCATCCCAGATGTGGACGAGTGTGTTTCTTCATCAGGTTTGTAGCACTGCATCAGTGTCTCACTGCAAGTGAATGGGTGCCGTCAGAACGAGAGCTGATAAAAACATCACAATAATCCACAGCACTCAGTGAACATCTGGAGAAGACAAAAGCTGAAACTAATCCAGCATCAAGACATTTTTAACTAAAATACATAGAGTCTATAATCCATAATAACGCTTCCTCCAGTGAAAAAGTGTTCTGGTCTGAATCAGGAGAGAAATCTGCACAGATCAAGCAGCGTTTAAACAGCTCTGAACACATGTGGCTGGATTTTGATGTGAGAGACAACAGATGCACTTTTTCACTGGAGGAAGAGTTATTATGGATTATGGACTCTGTATTTTAGCTAAAAATGTCTTAATGCTGGATTTGTCTCAGCTTTTGTCTTCTCCAGATGTTAACTGAGTGCTGTGGATTATTGTGATGTTTTTATCAGCTCTCGTTCTGACGGCACCCATTCACTTGCAGTGAGACACTGATGCAGTGCTACAAACCTGATGAAGAAACACACTCATCCTGATCTCAGAAGATCTGAGAGTGAGCAGATTTTGGCTGAACTGTTCCTCTAACATAAGTGTGTGTGTGTAGAGCTTCTCAGGTCTGCAGAGATCTGTCGAGATGAAAATGTTTAAGCATTATTAGAGCGCATGCAAACTTCACATTAAATCTGCCGCATGCATGTGCACTGAACAACTATCAGCATGAATGAGGAAAGGTTCCTCGCAAGCTTTAGCAATAAAAGGCCAGAGCAGGCTGTGTGTGTGTGTCTCCAGCGCTCTGACAGCTACAGGACGAGCTCTTCAGACGCACAGAACAACCGTCTTTCTCAGACACTCCTAACAACAGCAGAAGACAACAGATTTAACCCTGTAAAGCCTGACATTTCAAACATCTCTTTTTTTTTTGACCATTTATCGAACCTTTACACAAAATATAAAAGAAAATCTGAATATGAGTTTTATGTTTTGTATCATATTTGCTCCATCAGGCTTTTATGGCTCGTATAGTCTGATCTAGTGAGAAAAAACAGCTCAGTTTGCTGCAGATGCTGATATTTCTATGATGAAATTGTGATGCTTGTAATGCAAATCAATGAGGTCTTTCTAACAGTAGACAGGATACTGATATAAAATAATGTAAATATCAGTGGTTGCTCTATATCTCCAGTAATAAGATGAGATTGAAATGATCCAAACATATAATGCAGTGATTGAGAGCTGAAGAAATAAAGGCTCCTCAGAAGATGTGAGATGTTCTGGAGGCTTGTGAAGATCATTCCTCCGCTGAGGAACAGTGAAAGTAAAGCTTCTGGAAACAAACGCTCCTCAAAAGATCCTGAGGATCAGATTTGAGACCTGACAATAACTAAAATACAATAAATGTTTTTTTTGTTATTTAAAACTATTTTATACTAAATAAATATATATTATAATTGATATATATGATTTATTAATATTAATATAATATATTTAGATTTTATTTAATGTGTATTTTATTTCAATATAAGATCGACAGTACATGTACATTAATATAATATATATTTGTATTTACTTCATAATATTGTTTTATCGGTGTGTGTTTATATATATATATATCTGTATATAGCTGCTTATTACTGGATGAAGATCAGTTCATACTTCATAGCACTAAAAGAGCATTTTCTTGACAATGAAATATTTTAAAGCAGAGGATTCTTAATTCAATTAATCAGTTATTTAAAAATAAATCCACTTTTTCTTGACCAATCAACAGCTCTTTCACTCTTAATTTTGCAGTAAAACATTTAAAAAATTGTGTTTTTTTTTGTCTTTTTTTTTTCTTTTAAAATATATCTATTATTATTATAATTATTTCAATTTAAAATAAAGGTTTTCTTTTTTAATAAAACGTTCAATTAGAAATATTTTCTAACAATATAAGTCTTTATTATTACTTTTTTATAAATTTAACACATCCTTGCTGAATAAAAGTATTAGTTTCTTTCAAAAAAAGAACGCCAAACTTTTGAGCTGTAGTGAATATTGCTACAAAAGTGTTCTATTTTGAATAAATGCTCTTCTTTGTAACTTTTTATTCATCAAAGAATCCTGAAAAAAGTATCACAGCTTCCAAAGAAAAACAATGTAGCAGTAAAACTAATAAATCAGCATATTATACTGATTTCTGAAGATCATGTGACACTGAAGACAGTAATGATGCTGAAAATACAGCTGCGCATCACAGAAATACATTATATTTTAACAGAGATTCACATAGAAAACAGCTGTTATAGATTAGAATAATATTTCACAATTTTACATTTTTTTTCTGTATTTCTGATCAAATAAATGCAGGCTTGATGAGCAGAAGAGACTCCTGTAAAACACATTAGAAACCTCACTGACCCCAGACTTCTGAACAGCAGTGAATATAACATCTGTCTGCTGCTGGTTACTCTCTCTCTGTGTGTATGACACATATACACTAACTTGCTGGCTATTATATTGTTTAGTATTCTTTATTATATCACGCTGAACACGCTAAAGTAACACAGACACACAAAATAACGTCAACTCTTGACGTCACAGCGCTACAGAGCACGAGCAGGAAAGGTTACTTGCAGGTGTTATGCGTGTCTTGATGGATAAAAGGGTGGCGTTTATATATTTAATCTGCTTTTTGCGAATGTTTTTGTTGCGTGAAGCCTCGGTTTGAATGTTTGAACTCGCGCCTGTAGAAGCACATCAGGAGGACAAACGCCTTCCGCTCAAAACCCTTTTGAAATCTTAAATTCGAATATATATATATGCAGGTGTATATTGCTTTTTTAAATGCACAGGGTTCAGAGAGAAGTCACAATCCTGTTCAAAGTGAACTCTCCCACAGCAGCTTTAAACTGCAAAAGAAACTCCAGCCACACGTTTAAAAGGGTTTCTTTAAAAGCACAATGCTCATGTGTGGAGGTGCTGTGAGTATGATGGGTCGAATAACCCGTTCTGCTCATGTTGTGTCTGTAGGCATTAAACTCTTGTGCTTGTGGACGACGAAACCAGCCACATTTCACTCCGAGAGACCAGTTCAGCCGAACATGAAGATCTGCTCACCCTCAGGATCATCCCAGATGTGGACGAGTGTGTTTCTTCATCAGGTTTGTAGCACTGCATCAGTGTCTCACTGCAAGTGAATGGGTGCCGTCAGAACGAGAGCTGATAAAAACATCACAATAATCCACAGCACTCAGTGAACATCTGGAGAAGACAAAAGCTGAAACTAATCCAGCATCAAGACATTTTTAACTAAAATACATAGAGTCTATAATCCATAATAACGCTTCCTCCAGTGAAAAAGTGTTCTGGTCTGAATCAGGAGAGAAATCTGCACAGATCAAGCAGCGTTTAAACAGCTCTAAACAAATATGTGGCTGGATTTTGATGTGAGAGACAACAGATGCACTTTTTCACTGGAGGAAGAGTTATTATGGATTATGGACTCTGTATTTTAGCTAAAAATGTCTTAATGCTGGATTTGTCTCAGCTTTTGTCTTCTCCAGATGTTAACTGAGTGCTGTGGATTATTGTGATGTTTTTATCAGCTCTCGTTCTGACGGCACCCATTCACTTGCAGTGAGACACTGATGCAGTGCTACAAACCTGATGAAGAAACACACTCATCCTGATCTCAGAAGATCTGAGAGTGAGCAGATTTTGGCTGAACTGTTCCTCTAACATAAGTGTGTGTGTGTAGAGCTTCTCAGGTCTGCAGAGATCTGTCGAGATGAAAATGTTTAAGCATTATTAGAGCGCATGCAAACTTCACATTAAATCTGCCGCATGCATGTGCACTGAACAACTATCAGCATGAATGAGGAAAGGTTCCTCGCAAGCTTTAGCAATAAAAGGCCAGAGCAGGCTGTGTGTGTGTGTCTCCAGCGCTCTGACAGCTACAGGACGAGCTCTTCAGACGCACAGAACAACCGTCTTTCTCAGACACTCCTAACAACAGCAGAAGACAACAGATTTAACCCTGTAAAGCCTGACATTTCAAACATCTCTTTTTTTTTTGACCATTTATCGAACCTTTACACAAAATATAAAAGAAAATCTGAATATGAGTTTTATGTTTTGTATCATATTTGCTCCATCAGGCTTTTATGGCTCGTATAGTCTGATCTAGTGAGAAAAAACAGCTCAGTTTGCTGCAGATGCTGATATTTCTATGATGAAATTGTGATGCTTGTAATGCAAATCAATGAGGTCTTTCTAACAGTAGACAGGATACTGATATAAAATAATGTAAATATCAGTGGTTGCTCTATATCTCCAGTAATAAGATGAGATTGAAATGATCCAAACATATAATGCAGTGATTGAGAGCTGAAGAAATAAAGGCTCCTCAGAAGATGTGAGATGTTCTGGAGGCTTGTGAAGATCATTCCTCCGCTGAGGAACAGTGAAAGTAAAGCTTCTGGAAACAAACGCTCCTCAAAAGATCCTGAGGATCAGATTTGAGAC